TCTTTCATTCATTTGTTTCTGTTTGTTTCGTCACTGATTTGTTTGTTTGTTTGCGCGCTCATTCACTGTTTTGTTTGTGTTTGTTTCGTTACTGATTCGTTTGTTTGTTGGCGCGCTCTTTCATTCTTTTGTTTCTGTTTATTTCGTCACTGATTCGTTTGTTTGTTGGCGCGCTCTTTCATTCTTTTGTTTCTGTTTGTTACGTCACTAATTCGTTTGTTGGTTTGGTGTTCTTTCATTCAATTATCTATGTTTGTTTGGTCACTGATTCGTTTGTTTTTTTTGGTGTTCTTTCATTCATTTATCTCTGTTTGTTTCGCCACTGATTCGTTTGTTTGCTTGCGCTCTGTTTCATTCATTTGTTTCTGTTTGTTTCGTCACTGATTTGTTTGTTTGTTTGCGCGCTCTTTCACTCTTTTGTTTCCGTTAGTTTCGTCACTGATTCGTTTGTTGGTTTGGTGTTCTKTCATTCAATTATCTTTGTTTGTTTGGTCACTGATTCGTTTGTTTGCTTGCGCTCTCTTTCATTCATTTGTTTCKGTTTGTTTCGTCACTGATTCGTTTGTTTGTTTGGCACCCTCTCATTCAGTTGTCTCTGTTTTTTTTGTCAGTGATTCGTTTGTTTGTTTGCTCGCTCTCTCATTCTTTTGTGTCTGTTTGTTTCGTCACTGATTCGTTTGTTTGTTTGCGCGCTCTTTGAGTCCTTTGTTTCTGTTGGTTTGGTCACTCACTCGTTTCTTTGTTTCGTCACTGATTTTTTTGTTTGTTTGTGCGTTCTTTCAATCATTTATCTCTGTTTGTTTGGTCAGTGATTCGTTTGTTTGTTTGCGCTCTCTTTCATTCTTTTGTCTCTGTTTGTTTGTTCACTGATTCGTTTGATTGTTTGCGCGCTCTTTCATTCGTTTGTTTCTGTTTGTTTCGTCACTCACTCGTTTCTTTGTTTCGTCACTGATTCGTTTGTTTGTTACTGGGTTGTTTCGATCATTTGTTTCTGTTTGTTTGGTCACTGATTCGTTTGTTTGTTTGCTTGCTCTTTCATTCGTTTGTTTCTGTTWKTTTCGTCACTTAATCGTTTYTTTGTTTCGTCACTGATTCGTTTGTTGTTACCGTGTTGTTTCAATCATTTGTTTMTGTTTGTTTGGTCACTGATTCGTTTGTTTGTTTCCGCGTTCTTTCAATCATTTGTTTCTTTTTAGTTGTTCACTGATTCGTCATTTTGTTTGTTCGCTCTTTCACTCATTTGACTCTATTTGTTTGGTCACTGATTCGTTAGTTTGTTTGTACGATCTTTTGTTCATTTGTATTGGTTGGTTTGTTTGGTTTTTCAACACGCAAAGTGTAACCTAAAAGTTGCCCAAAAAGAAGGCCTCCATGTCCGTAAATCATGCAATTTAAAAGTTACATTTAGATTAAATAAGTCAAGAGCACGTTCATTAAAGTTTATTTAGTAAATTGCTTCATATTCATATCATTGCAGAATTACTTCCGCAAGCATGCACCGTGTGATAACGCACCTTATGGCATCAGTCCTGACGTCATGGACACCTATGTTAAAAGCTGYGGTAAATATTAAAAGAAAGTCGTAGCGATGGGCGGGCAGGGGAGGGGGCAATTGCCTCCCCAAAAAATACAATCTTTTACAACACCTGAAAAACTCCTACGATAAAACGCATTTAGTGTTTGTTTTGGCGTGAAAATGGCACATTGCCCCCCCCCCCCCTATTAAGGAGACCCCTATCTGAAAATAAAATGTAGATCCTGTTGTTTTAATCGCGGTATAAATATGATGGCAGAATTTAAGGCTTCACAGTTAAAAACAACTCAAAACCGAACGTAAATTGTATCAACCCATGAAGCTCCCTCTGAGAGGATATTATATATGACACGACTTACTAGGTGCAATCAGTATTTGATATGTTTGAATGTGCGGAGGAAAGAAAAACGAAGAAAGCCTTATCGTTTCAAGAGGACCAACAAGCGCTACTCGCACGTGATGTCGAGTCCAGRAATCAAACCTGTAGGCCTCTGAGGGAGGTAGGGCATGCGAGAGGCGAGTGACAAGCTATGCTCACAGGGTAACCAACCCAAGGGTCTAACGGAATTTTTCGACTGACAGAAGCTAAAAATCTTGATACTCGCGACCTATTAGTAGTACACCTCACTAACTCAGTCTACTACAAGTCTCTGTGAATGATGAGTATGAAATGGTTAGACCTTCATGTGGGTCAAATGACCATGTTACTGCTCTACTGTCTCTAATCAACTAAGATCAGCAATTTATCAGTTGAATTACTGTCAAGTCATTAGGACGAAGTTGACTCTCACCTCACAGAAATCCCTACATCACAAGCAACCTGCTAACTCCTAGCCTTCCAAGTGCATATTAACTACCAGCATGGAGGCAAGCTGCAACAAATTTTCACAGAACTTAATTTTCACAAAAATGGTTGAGCTACATTTCTTGATAAATAAATTTCACTATTTTTCGGGAAAATCCTGTTAAAGCTAAGGAAACTAAATTTTGCACTTTTGCAAATCCTGATATTTATCCTGCTTATCATATTTCCATATTTAGCGGGTTACTGTGTCATCACATACCTACTTGGAATTGGAGACAGGCATCTGGATAACCTACTTTTAACCAAATCAGGTGATTACCATATAAAACGACATAAGTTAAAATTTTTATCTTGGATCTGTGAAAGCTCATTWGATTCTGCAACAGTTTTGTCAGTCTGTTCCAGATATTGGCAAGCACCTCAAAAACTGGCAGGGAGTGAGGGGTCTAAGCATATAGCAGACTATTTGTGAAAGGTGTATGTGAATGCTAACTTGCTTGTCAAACAATTAATGATCTATTCTCCTATCCTTTCTCTACTTAGGTAATTTGTTTCATGTTGATTTTGGGTACATTCTTGGCCGAGACCCCAAGCCCTTGCCACCTCCAATGAAACTAAGCAAGGAAATGGTAAGAAAAACTAGTTCGCTCGCCTACGAATTTTCGTGCTGTAAACAAGGCATAACTAGTCAGATAAAATTATGGAGTCAACTTGGCTTCAATGATTGCTACCCAGAGTTCCGTTCGGTCCAGTCGCATAGACTTGAGTTTAGTCGACGACAACAGTTTTTGAATCGACTGTATATTTCATAAGACCAGTCAGCATCATTTTTGATCACAGGCCAAGTTTGTTTTAGCTTGGTTATACCTTGTTTCTGGCTCAACTTCATTGGTCAAAATTACCAGCAAGGCAAAGATTTGACCGGACAAGTCCCAATTTTTCCAATGTCTGGCCGTTATTTCAAACCCATAGAGGGATATCTAAAAATATATATGGTGTTCATTTTGTCAGGTTGAGGCGATGGGTGGAGCAAACAGTGATTGTTACCAGGCATTCAGGAAACAATGTTACACTGCCTTCTTACATTTGAGAAGGTAAGTTTGAAGTACCACTAATATTCTAATRTTAGATGATAATTATTAATAATATGGAATTTTTTACAGACATGCCAATTTAATATTAAACCTCTTTGCCTTAATGGTTGATGCAAACGTCCCCGATATAGCCCTGGAACCTGACAAGACAGTCAAAAAAGTAAGTTGCTAGAACTTCTATCAAGTACTGTTTACAAGATGAGTGCTGTGTTGTATCAAATTTACAACAGGAGCTGGGAGGCAAATGATTGTAAATCTGATACAACGTGGACGTAAATGTCRTAGACTACTTAAATTAGGTATTATTACATAATTTCATTTTACATTGAAATTTTAAAGAATTATTTAAATAACCAGATTTACAACCTATATAGTTGATATGACTGCTTTTCTGCCCAGGTCCAGGATAAATTCCGTCTAGATTTGAATGACGAGGAGGCAGTCCAGTATCTTCAGGCTTTAATTGATGAAAGTGTCAGTGCCATGTTTGCGGTTGTGGTAGAACAATTTCACAAATTTGCACAGGTAACAATAAATTATCAAACCCATACATGAAAACTATGATCAAGATTGTGAAGTTCCACAGAGGAATTTGGAATTTCCTTGGGGTGGGGTGGGGTGGGGGATGGAGTCAGAGAAAGCACAAAATGGAAGAAAATTGGAATTTTTGGGGGAAGGGGGGTCTTAAAATAACTTCCATGGGGAAGGTGTATTGATAATTTTTAATTTTCTGGAACTACACATTATAAAATTTAATGGAATGAATTGCAAGAGGGGTGTGGCACATGAACATGGTGCATCATGGTCTAGGTTGGGTTCATACCTCATATGGTACTAGACCATAATGCATCCTGTTTATAAAACCCAGAAAATGCCCATAGAATAGACCAATCAGAAATTCCACTTGACTATAAAGATATGACAATATGATTAGAAATAAATATCAAGCACAAAAATAAAATTTATTGTCAAGCCCCGTTTACACTAGCGATTTTTGTGGCGAATTTTGCTGTGATTTTTTGCGATTTTGTCCATAATAAATAATGGTAAAGAATTTACTTGATGTAAAGTTTTTTTCAGGATACCAAGATTTTCCTAGAAGAAGTTCTCTTTTGAAGGATGAGACAAAAGATTTCATCAAATTGCAGCAAAAATTGCCAGTWTAGGGAGAGTTCAACCTTATTTAAGCACCAAAAAAAGATTGAACAATTTTCTAATAGACTTTAGGAATGCAGTTGAGTGCATTGATGTTTGTGGGTGGGTCTGTTTTTTTCCCCCCAGTGTTTCCACACGATGGATTATATCCATTGTAAATTAGCTGAAATCATGAGATATTCATAATTAGTAACATTGAAAATAACATTTTGTTTCTTTTGTTCTTTCAGTACTGGAGGAAATAACAGTCAAGATGAATAGGAGTATTTTTATTGGCTAGTTTTGGTCTCAACTCATAAGCTTAGGAAAACCATACTTGAGAGCTATTAAAATTACAAACATTTTAAGGAAGCTGAAAGACAAAATATAACATAGCTATAACTATTATAATAAAGCAATAACATGACACTGCTTTGAAAAAGTGGAACTTCTTGATATGATATGAGAAGCCACATGTGACGTATCTACTAAGATTTTCATGTTTAAAATTAGAAACCAATGATCACTTGTCAGCATTACAAGGTGTGGTCTCTGTTCACAATCATGGTCTAATTTTGGCATTGGGAGTCATTTGATTGGCTTTGTAAATCGCTGGGGGGTTAATTCCATCAATTTGTCATTTCTATTATTGGTTAAATTATAATGATTAAGTGGGCTGTAAAAAGAAAAACTTAAAAGAAAATTCTTTATTTACATTTTATGAAAATAAATATTTTACTTTAAAAATCAGCTTTAGAGTTCTTCTATTTTGCCACTGTCACCATACACTGAATCAAAATATGACAACCAATTTGAATTGCTATTGTTCTGGACTGACTAGCCTTGTTCACATGGAAACATAAAAGTGTTTTCACTTGTATGAGAGGCTGGCTAGTCGTTGCAGAACAATATTCATTCAAATTGTTTGTCAGATTTCAATTCAGTGTAAATGAGCAACTTTTTGTATTAAAATACAATTTGCAAAATGTTAAAGCTTTTTCAGAACAAAGCGCCACTTACTGAAAAACCAAGGACTTTGGGGGTCACTAAGTCGAAGCAAGGGCACAATAGACATTTTTAAGTAGCTTATCAAGAAACTTGAACAGGCACCCATCTCAGTAACATCTTTCAACCACTACCTATCTTTGTGGTTTGGTTATTAACCATAATAACCCAGATGTGCATATGTATGGCAAAGATCATGACATTTACAACATTGCAACAATAAGTTCAGTTATTATTAAACACTAAATCTATTCTATGGGCCCTTAGAAGATCTCATTGGGGGAATAAGTCAGAAATCAATACCTTATGTCTAGTAAGACCAAATGGAACAATGGGGTGGAGGCTGGCAGGTGTCATCAAAGGACAGGTTTTGGTTGCCATCCTTTATATCCCCAAATATTAAGTTGAACATTGAGAATCACCAAACATAATGGGCAGTAAGCCTATAAAATGTGCAGTCACCTATCTTGGTAATTCTCTTTAATCATTTACTAAGGCCATGGCTTGCTCTTGCAGTCTGCTCATGTTAAAGTCTTCACAAAGTTCAGCAGCCTTATGGACACGACAAAAACTGATGTTAGACAAATTACAAGGATAACAAGTTAGCGCTAACAACTTAACATTTATGAAATCTAGACAAGAATCAAAGTCTGTGTTTTTGACTCCTGAAAAATGCTTTTTTGACTGACAGAGGCACAAATCTTTACAACTTATCCATTTAGCATGCATGCTACATGGAAGATTTAATTATTATAAAAATTCACCTAAGTAAATACCTATAGGGGCTTTTCATCATCATGTGAGGGCAGCCATGTTAGATGGCAGGAACAATACAATCATTTCTGTTTTTAAGAAAGATATCTGTGACAAATTTCTTTCTTTGAAATATAATAAACTATTTGATTATTCTATTTCAAGAATAGCGTCAGTTCTACATGCTCGATTAAGGTTACAAGCCTGTGCATTAAATGAGTACTTGTTTCAAATCAGTTGTTCTTCCTCTCCCCGATGTAGATGTGGAATTGAAAAAGAATCAATTATGTATTTTTTCTTTAAATGTCCCTTATATGCTGATCAGAGAAATTCTCTTTTTACCTCAGCTGCATTGATTTGTGGTAGTTTGTGGCAAAACRTTTCTTCAAAAATGCAAAAACTTAGTTGGTTTTTATATGGCTGTAGAGACTTAGACTTTTAAAAAAATCATGAACTTTTCACTGAAGTACAAAAGTACATATTAGCTACAAACCGTTTTTTGTTCACCAAAGATTAATTATTTTTTCATTTACTGTTTTCATTATTTCGCTTTTGCTAGTTTAATTTTCCTTCTTTGTACTGTAAATATTATGGATATGAGCCCCCTCGTACAGCTTTTAGGGCAAATGTTTAGTCAAATATGTATAAATAAATTTAAAAAAATCATTTCTCACAAGAAAGAATTCAATTCCGAAGTGCAAAAAGACTTTATTGTTCTACCTGATCTAACCACAGGCAGCCCAAGCTGTATTATGGATGCCGGCACGTGATGGTGCAAAGCCTCTATTCAAATATCAAAAAATTAAAAATTAAACAAAACCAAAAACAAGAAAAACAAACCTTGGTGAAGTTGTTGGAAAAAATATTTTTTAATTAGTAAAAATTTTAAAGAAAGGAAAAAAGTCTTAATATTTAAGGAATTGTATACCTCTCTTAGGTGTTCGGCTTTTTTAGGCAGCATTTTCTGGTTTTCCTCAACTTTTTCTCTTTGTGGAAGAATGACATCTTCAAGAGATTTGTTTTCATTTTCAATCTAATAACATGAATATTGAAATCATCTGATTCAGCTTACATGTCATGGGCATTTTTAATAATTGTGTCCAGAAATAACCATGGATAATGGGAACTATACATTAAGTGAAAAAATGGAAAAGAGGGGGGAGAGGGGGGGGAGGTGATGGTTCAGTGTGGAATCAAACCCTCCTAATGAACCTTCCCCAATGCTGCCTGGCCCTAAACAAATCCCTTTTTTGATATAGCCTTTTTAGTTCAGGGAAGTGGTGAGAATTTTATCATTTGACTCTCGCCAAGGCAACCCAGGTTTGATTCCTGGATTCTGCATTATTATATGTAAGTAGAGTTGCTTTTTAGTTCTCTCCTGTGCTTCAAAGGGTTTTTCTACAGGTGCTCCACATTTTCTTCCCTTAAAGTGTAAATTCCATTTGGAATCCAGTGGAAGAAGAGCCATTCTGTGAAACCACAGTTAATTTCCATTTTGTTTATTTTCATTCATCCTTAGTTTCACAACAGAGGTTATGGCTATGGAAGAGGGTGGTTACACTATCCTCTAGACTTTGAGATTGAACAATCAACCTTGGTAAGGATTTGACAACCCAAGATCCAAGGGCTGGAAAACATGCTTGCCCTCTAATGCCCTGGGTGTAATAAATAATAATAATTAGAATTGACACTGTTGATTCACTGTACCTTTTCTAACATTCCCTTTAACTGATCTCTGTATGTACTTTTAACAGCCATTAGATGATCACGGCAGTCAGTGGACGGTTCCCCTGAAGGTCTCCTAGAAACAGAAATTCTCAGTTAGAGGAGACCCTCCCTATATAAGAAACAGTATACCCTACTGTCTTCCAATTCTTCTCTTGCCCATTTAAGGGAAAGATGAAAAAAGTAATTTGTATCTTCCACCTACAATGCCACTTATGCTCTCAAGAAAAACTTCCAACCACCACATCCTATTCATGCTTAGAGGGTGAAAAGAACTGGGGTTTCAAATGACTGGCACATTACTGTTCTTATCGCTGTATCATGAACACTCCTGCAAGGTTTTGATTACTTTTTGACAACTTCTTGGCAAATTTTTGACAAGTTTTAATGTGCTCTTTATAGCTAATGAATTAGACATCAGCACTTTACCTTCATGTTTCATAAGGAGGAGTTTGTACATCGATGTAACAATATCAAAGCATCAAAGTGAAGTGCCAAAACATGATTGGTTAGCAGTAAAGAGCACAAGAAAAACTTGTCAAAAAGTTGTCAAAAAGATGTTAGTTAATGCCCCAATAAAGCTTCTTGAACTCGCTTGGATCACCAAGAGACAATGGTTGAAGTTGAGACTGAACCTTATTCAAGTTCAACCTCAACTTGAAAACATTATTTGGTGGTCATCCAAGTGAATTCGGGAAAGGTCTATTAGTGCAGAAGTGCTAGAACAACTAGACACTTAAATTACACTTCTATCATGTCCTGCCAATACCTGTGTGTTAGCACACAGACTAGTACAAGTATGACTGCAGGTTTTCTATTTCTTTAAGGGGCTCTCAGCTATTTACCAGACTCCACTTGGTAGTTGCTAAGGAAAATAGAATGGTTGCTAACTTACAGTCAAAACAGCTCAAGCTTACCCTCCTAGGTTCCATCCATGGATTCATTATTCAAATAGTAAAATTTATYATTCTTTCYGAGAATACAAAGAATAGGAATCAAATTAATAACAAACTCATATCTCCAATTCTGATTATTATCTGTTATYATTTTGAATCCTGAGTCTTAATTCATGTTCTAGAAAAGAATAACAAATTTAATCATTCAAAAAATAAAATCATTAATGGCACCTAGTAGGGTAAGCTTGAGCTATTTTGACTGTAACAGTTCAAGGTAAGTAGCAGATCATATTTAAAATAATTGTGTTCTACAGCACGAGCTACATATATGGCAGCGTTGACCAATGTGCATGCACAGAACAACAAAATATGAAAAGATTATAAATCTTAACRTAATGAATATGATTTCCTAAAAAATCTTAATAAAGATAATATCCAATGTCTCTTCTATAAAGTTAAGCATGGTTTTTATTCTAAGTTTAGCATATGGGAAATATTTAGGTTTCAATTTTTCAACATGCCTTGGTAGCCTGCCTTTTCCACTGTTTTCACAAATAATGCTTAACTTTGTTTCAGTAGTAACCTTCACAGTTCCTTGAGCCATCTTGAAAGGTAGCTGTGCCTTTACATTGAAGCAAGGTGAACTAAACGGTGAGCTTGCAATGATAGAGACACGTGAATATATTGTCCAAGGAGTTAAAAAATGTCTCTATTGTTGCAAGTTCACTGTTCGTCTCACTTTGATGCAAAGGTATGGCAACATAAAAAAAATCTTTCCATATACTTATAATCCTTTACCTAAAACTGTGTCTGGTGAATGTGTAAGACCCCCCTTAACATATTTACCAGGCTGGTGTTGGTCTAGAGCTGTTTTCTTCAACTGCACGGTCCAATGTATCAAAAAAATATTCCAGGTCTTCTTGTTTAATCATCAAGCTAATTTCTGTCTACAGTAATAAAAATAGTTTATTAATTCGTCAACAAGCCTCTCTTGCAATTTAACCTGTTTTGATTCGTCACTAACTGTCAATCAATGGACCCCTTCTCAAAAGTATCTTGGATGCGAGGCTAACATTTTTCTCGCTGGAATTTGCAGCATTTCTTTTGTATTTCTATGTTAGCCTCTCATTCAAAGCAGCATAAACATGGTCTTGCAGGGTGGGTGCATGGGAAATGGAAATGTTTAAACTAATAGCGATCTCGAAGAGTGGTAAGTAAACATTCCAAGGATTTAKAAAAAAAAGAAAAAAAAAGAAAAAACAAACCATAATCCAATAATGGGTGAGCAATAATTAAAATGCAACAATTTGCAGATGTAAAAAGGGCAAAAGAATAATATCTGCTAAATGAGGCGGCAGACCTTCAGCTGTTGCAAGGGGGTGCAAGGGGGAGGTGGGGTGCACGTGCAGCCCTCTTGGATCATCCCTGATACCATATCATGCATCACCATCTTCACTATGATATCCAAAACCACCCACCCAAACCCGTTATCATCATCAATGCTGCAACCATTAGCAGCAGCAGCCACAAGAATATCTGCGCAGAATACCGAAATATAGACTAAAATGTACCAAAATGGAGAGATGAACGAGAGGAGACAAATAAACCCACCTCTATGTTTGCCTTCAAATGATTCATGAGCTGCTCTGAAATGCTATCAAATGCCCCGGAGTTTGCCGTTCTTAGCTCCTTGAAACAATTCTTAAACTGTGAATGCCTGCGTATGAAGAAAATAAAAACAAGCAAGCTTAAGCTCAACTCATATTTTGACTTTCACAAAATACAAATCTTACAAAGGGACTTGAAAAATTTCTTCAACTTTCTACAAACCTTCCTGCCGACATTATTTTGTTCAAACACTTATCCATTATTTTTCTAAAAATTATCATCCTCTTCTCTTCTTTTCCTTCCTCTTGTTCTTCTTGCGTTGCACTAGTTTCTACTTCAGCCACTTTATCTGCTGAAATGTCAACTTCGTTACAAGCCGCCATTTTAATTGTTTTCCCGCGTAAAAATGACTTGTCGATAAAAGTTCGTTAACTTTCCGGAGAGCTTTCGATATTTTCCGAAATCGGGCTCGTGTCTGGTCGTGTATTCGTCATTTATGGGATATCTGAGTAGGCGAAGAAGCAGAAATATTTATAATTATTGTGATATATAGGGTATGCTGTAAAGACTGGAAAAGTAAGTAAAACTCGCTTGAATCTCAAGATTCAGAATGAATTATGTTTAAAAAAGCTTTGTTTTTATCTCCTACCAACTTGTACCACGATTAAATACGGCTATGTATATATAATTGCCACTAGTGTCAGCCATTTTTTTCCTAAAAGCTTAACATCTTACTGTTTAGGTTGTGGCAGGCTGCCTACATGCATGTTCCACATATCCGTTTGTATCATTTATTAATGTCTGGACATAAAATTGTCTAGTTGTTAAAAAATATATAACAAAAAAATAAATGAAATACCATAAATAAATATCTCCATAGACTATAAGAGTACAGAACCACTAACTGTGTACGACAAATCATATCCAGATAGCACTTGTAGGCCAGTCATTTTGAAAACAAATTTTAAGCTAATAAGCTTGTTCTYGTGTTATTTTCACTGCTTTGTCGAGAAGCAATACCTTCCTTATTGCTTCTCAAGTCACATTTTATAATGGTGTTTGGATTTTACAGGTGCCGCAGAGGGGGAGGGGGACTGGTGGGCTATATAGCCTTCTCAATAAATTTGCTGTCATGTTGAATTGCATATTTACTAATTTTATACACAAATACCAATTTATTTGGCTCTTCTCAGTAAATTAAGTAAAGTCTCAGTAAAACCATTAGACTTTTCTGATGATTACAAGACAGTGATAAATTTCCAAGGGCACAAAAACTTTAATGCAATAAATATGTTGCAGATGCCCCTCCATACACTGGAAATTGCATTTCTGAGGGTATCGATTTCAAAAATTCAGAACCCCCTAGCTGCTCCTGCATTTCGCGGCCATTAGCCCCCCAATCAGAATTCTGCTTTGCTGCCCCAGTGATTAAACTTATGAAAGCTTAAGCTTATTCATTTCCATAATGCTTTTTTCTATTCCATGGTAAGAGGGCAATCTTATATGATCTATGCTCAAGAGACTACAAAAACCATCTAAAATATGTTTCTTTATAAATAAATTGATTACTGGAATGTTTATCATATGCCTTTTTATTCACTAGTATATATGGGGAGTCAAGAAAATTCAAGGTCCCAAGAAAGTACCAGTCAGTCTGAAGAAATGTTGCACAGGATAAGTTACATTATTACTAGATCTTCCTCATCAACTACTGTCAGCTCAGTTCACAAAGAACAAGCAATAATGCCTATAAATGGAATAGTATTTGATTTGGATGGGACATTAACTATTCCAGTACTTAACTTCAAAGAACTACGAAAAAAACTTGGTTGCCCTCCTCTGCCAGTAGATATACTCGAATTTGTCAGATCAAAACCAGAAAATGAGAAAGCAAGACTATTGAAAGTAGTACAAGACTTTGAAGATGAAGGGAACAGAAATATGGTGCTTCAACCAGGTGTTCATAAGCTTTTAAAATTCTTAACAGATAATGGTATAAAGAGAGCCTTATTAACCAGAAATGAAAGGCCATGTGTTAATACATTTTTAGAAAAACTAGGAGACCCGTCAGAATATGGAGGACCTTTCTCTCATGTAAGTTAAATCATTCAATTRATAAATTTGTAATAAATCTGTACTGATGTGTGTTCATACAGTATACTCTGTATATTAGCCCCCTTTTATAATAATTATTATAACATAAGTACTTGTCAAAGGAAAAGTCCAGCATTCAAACTAGGAATTGCTAATCTACAGTGCGACTACTCCAACCGAAGCCACCTCAACAAATTTTTCACAAATTATCCAATAGTGTTYGAGTATTTAGACAATAGATTAGCGGCAAATTTTGAATTTAAATATTCTTCCGTTGTTCCAGTTGGTAAAACTAAATGATGAAGAACTGAGCTTGTAATATATTTTCTTCGCAAATTAGTGATTTGTGTCAACAAAGATATAGAAAAATAGTAATGTACCACTTCAAATACGACAGGAAAGCAAATTAGAGACCATATAAAACAGTCTTTATGATTACAGTTTGTTTCTCACTGTTAGATCTTATCACCATGTTGCTATGCAACAGCACGTTTATATTTGACAACAAAGGTGCCGGCAGTCTTCTAAGCCGTGTAAACCCATGAATATTTGTCCAATTTGTAGCAATTCTATTGTTCAGATTCCTACTTTTGATTGGCTAATTTGTAGAAAATTTGTCGAGGTGGCTTTGGTTGGAGTAGTTGCACTGTAGATGTTGTCACCTAATATCCTACAAAATCATGAAAACTCATGGCTTGTCAATAACAGATTAGTGCTAACTTTACCTAACATCCACCCTACTGGGTTTCACTTCACATCATTTCATGTCTGGTGTGTAATGGTGGTTAATGTTTAGCTGTCATTTTGAGCAGATAACAAGTCTCACCTGATTGAAACCCAGCAATCTTGATCACTATATCAATAATACAAGGGATATAATAAGAGGAGGGGAGACTCTGGAGTAAAAGTATCTCTTATTTTCAAGTATCCAATTTTCCACCCTGCGAGCAGAGAGTCTCTGCTCGCAGGGTACCAATTTTCAAAAATGCCCCTAAGAGATACCAAATGTCTTGTTTGGATGATATTTTACACCTAAGAGATAACTAAAAGATATGCTGAAATCCTAARTTTCAATTCCAACACCCTAAGAGATACCACATCACTGATTTTTACCTATAAGAGATACAATGAGGATACCAGATACTTTTACCCTGACTACCCCCCCCCCCCTCGGGATTTTGCATACATATTGAACATTCATACAAGTTTTCATGCATTCATACAGGTTTTCATACATTCATACATTCATAGCAGCATTCATCTTGTTTTCCATCAAAAATTCTGATTTTTTTGAAACATGTTTTAACCCCCAGTTATTGACCAGAGATTTCACACCTTCAAAGCCACACCCTGCCCCTATCCATCACATCTGTAAAGAATGGGGAATAAAACCATGTAATGCTGTTATGGTTGGAGACCATTTTCATGATATAAACTGTGGCAAAAAAGCTGGCACTGGTATGTACCTTAATTCAATTTTAATTTATATATGTAAATTCAGAGTTCCAAAGTTAAACCATAGTTATTAACTATGGTTAAACCCAGAAATGTGACCTTGTACCGCTTAGGTTTGAATGCGCCAATCATTGAAGAACTGCAATACTGCAGGTCTATCTTTTCCCGAATTGATTTGAGTGATCACGAAACAGTGGGTTCAAGTCGAGGTTGGACTTCATAAAAAATTACAGTAAATGTATGAACACACCCAGTCCAACCACAACTTCGAGCTATTATTGTTTCATGATCACTCCAGTCAATAAAAGAAAAGCCTATTTAATTAACAAAAGCCTTTCAACAAGCATTTTACTAATATGAAGATTTTAATCCTCAGTGACGATACTACTTAACAATCCAAAGAATGGTGCCTGCAAAGAATCAGCTGATTTTAATGTCAACTCCTTGGAAGACATGATATCTTTACTAAAGAACAACTCAATGGTTGTTCAACGGGAAATTCCACTACCGGCACATGTACATGCCCAAGAGGGTACTGAGAAACACCAATGAAATGGCTTATAAATTCTGTCCTTGAAATATTCATACTTGCTAGTGTTATCCAGTCTATCTGTTACATGTTTGCCTGCCTCCCTTTACTGTCTCTCCAACACAAGAAAAGACTTTTAATTAATATGCCATCGTCATGTCGAAGTTGCATCTAAAATTGTCCTGCTTGCCTAGTACCATTAAAAAGAAAATTTTTTCTCAGAATATGCACAGATTTGCACACTAACCTTGCTTTTGTAAAATGATGACATAAAGCAAGTGGCCTTAATTTAGGGACTGGTCATGAAATAAGGAGAGGGGGGGGGGGGGAACTGGATTTAAAAGAGCTCTTTTTTGTTTGCTGGCCCAGCATAAAAAGAGGTTGAGAAATGATGACCCCTCAAGAAATGCAAATGATGTACAGTTTAATGTACAGTTTTATAGAGAGCTGACCCCTTTTAAGAAGTTTAAAATTGTGTCACCCACCCCCTGTTTTTACCTCACAACCCCCCCCCTTACTCCAGTCCCTTACTCAATTCTCACTTTCTATCATATTTTTCCTCCATAATTATTATTAAATCAAATTTATTATTTTATAAGTATTTTGATTTTTAATTATATGGATCAAACAGTTCTTTATCTCATTTGTTAAAATCCACAATGTAAATTATAATGATGCTTGAATAGCTTCCTAATTATCAACAAGGATCTATTTGATTGGATCAAAGTAGTTGCCAGTCATCTGACAATGTCAGAGGCTGAATTGTACGGTGGCCCATAACTATCACGGAGAAAAGAATTAACTCAAGGAGAAAAGAAATAACTCACGGAGAAAAGAATTAACTCACGGAGAAAAGAAATAACTCACGGAGAAAAGAATTAACTCACGGAGAAAAGAAATAACTCACGGAGAAAAGAAATAACTCACGGAGAAAAGAAATAACTCATTTGCATATTGATATTTCAAATGTTTATATCTCTGAAAAGAGAGTTCCACATACAAAAATACTGCAACCATGCTACTACATTGTTCACATATAAGTGATTTTGAAAATAATTTTTTTTCCTTGTATACACTTTAACTTTCTGCTTGAGGTTCCATTCAAAATTTCGAACTCCCCTTACGCCCCTCTATGAACACGTCCACTGCGTCTAGTAGATTCGGTTGACAACTGGAGCCTGAAGGCAGGTGTTTAAATTAAATACGTCATTCGTCGGTTTCGCGTTCCGTCTATCGACTGTTTTTCTTTTTTGGGGGTGGGGAGAGTGGAGTGTGATAGTCTTGTTCAGTAATGTTTCAAACTAATCGAATAACTACCTACCTGCCAAATAATTACATAATGACATTATCGAGATGTATTAAAAAGTCACACTGACCGAGAATAGTTTTAAGACAACTTCCTTAGTCATTTACCACAGCTTCCATAGTAGTTTCTTGGATAAAGAAAGACTCAGTGTCACAACAAACATGTGATCTCTGTAAAACAGCTGAGTTTTCCTTGGATAAAGAAAGACTCAGTGTCACAACAAACATGTGATCTCTGTAAAACAGCTGAGTTTTCATTTACCCGAAGGACTTCTTCAACGGGCTGACTAATCCCACAATAGGGCACAATACACGACTCAATACACGACTCGATAGCATAGTGGYTCTCTAGGAGGCCGTAGCCACAAAAATGCTTTCTCGTCCATATTAGGAACCCCATAAACAGGATTTTCAAACCACTCAAAACGAACTGAGTTTGGAAATCAAGAGAAACCTGTTCCTCCAGAAGGGAAACCGGTATCTGATAGCTATCAGCCAATCAACACGAAGGATTTTTTCATTAACCAATCAAAAGCGTCTGATAATGATGTCATAACTCACGAGTTCGTCAACTAGTTTATCACGTACGAAGAAATAGGTTATATTGATAAAGAAGCTAGAGATTTTTCAAATTTACTGTGGCATAACTGGGGCTGTTTGTGGCAATGATAGACTTTATTCTCCCAAGAAAATATCTAGAAGAGAATATTTATTCTCTCATAGTTTATATTGCGGCAAAAGTCATCCCCATAGTCGGCTTCTTATGATGTTGGTTTCAAGACTGAAGGTGGAAGTCATTTTCAGGCGTAAGCTAAAAGTCCGCCACGTCTGTTGAAAACCTTTCACCTTGTTGCGCTCTTTAGCGTTTTCAATTTGCCAAACCGAGAAAAGTTACACCTTTAAAATCTCAAATTTAAGAACATGAATGATAAGGTAAGCTTTCCGATACGTTTTAAGCTTCAATCATTATAGTACTCGTGACTTGCCCGCCAGTAATTTATTGATGGCTGCGCCGGAGAATAGTCTATAAGATCATTTTTGTTTTTCTTTACAGAGATCTCTACCGAAAGCATTTCTGGCTGGTGCCTTGAGTGGCACTTGTTCTACTATCTTATTTCAACCGCTAGATTTGGTGAAGACACGAATCCAAGCTCAGGCAATCCCTACTACCGCCACAGGGTGAGTGTTGTACACATACAAACCTACAGAAAAAATCCTAAAAAGAGTCTTTGAAAACAGTCTTATAGTTAAATAACAAGAAATGCAAGTCTTGCATAAGCTTATGTTTTCTGAACTTGTGTTTTTAGAAATGGCGGTATGTTTTACACCTTTTATTCCGTGGTAAGAACTGATCACGTTTCTGGCTTATGGCGCGGACTAGTACCAGTAAGTAATATTGTACTCCTTTATTCTAATGCTACCGTGTATTTTAACCTCCTACTATATACTAGCTTGTAGCTTATATCAGAAGGACTAGATATTACTAATAATAAAGTGTTAAAGTGAATGCTGATTGCATGTAAAACTTATAATTGAAGCATTGCATCTCTTGCTGTGTACAGTCACAACAAAAAACTATCACGTACTTCTATACGACACTGGAATCTATGTCAATCTCTTTCCAACCTTAAATTTTCTTCGATTTGTGTTTCAGTCTATATACAGATGTGTACCAGGAGTAGCAATGTATTTCTGCTCCCTTCATGGACTAACTAGTTTGTTTGGGTAAGTTTCTTGAAAAAAAATGTCTAAACTAGTATGTTTTTGTGCCAAAACACAATAACAACCATTGCATAATCTTTATTATATAATTATCCATAAAATACCTATATTTCTCCTTTTCGAAAAACTGATATTTTCACATGTGAAAATAGAAATAACATGTTATTTTCACATGTGAAAATAATGTTACCATGCTATTAGTTTATGAATAAAAACTTTTTATAATAATAAAAAGCTTATTAAGTTGATTTTATGGATAATTATATAATAAACAGAATATTACATGGGTGCTTGGATATACGAAATTTATCTTCTCGTGTTGAAAATCTCTCCTCTCTTCGCTGCGCTCACTCGTGAGAGATCTTTTCAACACTTGAAGTTAAATTTCGTATCTCCGCGCGCTCATGTAATATCCTCTATATTAACACCCACATACCTGCCTTYGAGGCTAACAAAAACAATTAGTTGTTTTTGAGATATATATTGACCTTGTTTATCATTCTCATAGTACTGAAAACCCATCACCAATGCAATCGATTGCTCTTGGAGCATCTGCAAGATCTGTTGCTGGAATTTGTCTTTTGCCAATAACTGTAGTGAAAACAAGATACGAGGTATGAAACCTCTTTGTTTTTTAGTCTAAAGGTCCAAATGCATGGTGTGCACAAAAGTAGATGCCAAGAAATTGTGATGGCTACCTACTTTTCAGATTTCGTTAACACAGTGGAATGTTGCAGAAGCATAAACTGTTGTCTGCAACAATTGTGCCGTGTCCCTACACCTTATAATGATGATAATTATATTGTTTTACTCATAAGGTGCTTAACATCATGACTCTGGGAAGTCTGATTACCTATAGCGGTCACAATTCAATCATTTGGATCTAGAACACTCCATTATATTGGCACATGATTAACAAAGGCAACAAAGTTACATGAAGTATTGCCATAAGATATTGATGTACATGAATCAAGATTCTGGAAATTATTTTGCCAGCTAGGAATAATGAAAGTTGTACATGACAATGAGCTATTTTATTTTTCTAGAGTGGCAAATTTAATTACAAGAATATGCAAGATGCATTTGTATCAATATGGAGGAGTGAAGGTAGCAAAGGCTTATATAGTGGATTATTGGCAACAGTTGCAAGAGATGCTCCATTCTCTGGATTATACTTGATGTTCTACACACAGATTAAAAGAAGAGCAAGAGACTGTAAGTTTCAAATTGAAAATAAATGATGTACATTCATGGTTCATTTACATTCTGCGTACCCACTTCACATTGATCAACTTTCCCTCAGAGAAAAATATGACCTTGAGACTGGAACAGTTGCCCTGTGCTTCGTTGTCTGGCTGTGTTTCCAGCAGGGTTGGTTGTTGTAGTTTAGTGGTAACACATTGGACTAGAAAACTGAATGGTTTCAAGTTCTGCCAAGGGCATAGGATATTTTTTTCTCTTAATATTTGTGTCCAGGAAGTATTAATAAAGCCTAAATTTGAATTTTTTTCCTCTCATACAGTATTACAAGTAAGAGATCTGTCAAGTCGACAGAACTTCACCTGTGGGTTAATAGCTGGATTTCTGTCATCAATTGTCACTCAGCCAGCTGATGTTGTCAAAACTAGGCTTCAACTCAACCCATACAAGTATGCAAGCAATAAAGATGCAGTGCTTTGTATCTTGAAGGTCAGTCAGAAACTATTTGATCTATATTTTTATTCATTGGTGTTAATATTGTCAACATGTACAATAGGCTTTTTCCAACAACAGGTCATGTGACCCTACCCCCRTAAAAAGAGACACTGTGTCAAAATGAACACCAGATATCAAAAGAGCACCTTGATATTAGTAAGAAGGCAAAGTTTCAGCTTCAGTTTCAGGCCATATTGCACTAAAAATTTCATTTTATTTCTTTGTTTCAAATGGATTTGTCCCATGAGAAATTAATTATTACATTAATCTAGAGCAATGTTTGATAGTGYCTTTAAAATGGCTTGTTGACCGAGCGTTACAGGTTGAAAATGATAGCCGAGTCTTGACAGAACAGAAAAGCTATACTGCCCTGCTAAAATCGATATTGCCCTCTTAAAATTTGAAAACTGTAGTTATTGATGCTGATAACCAATATTATTTTTTCTTGATCATAGGATAATGGCGTGGAGGGTTTGTTTAGGGGACTTATTCCAAGAACCATCAGAAGAGCATTTATGGCTGCAATGGCGTGGACTGTTTATGAAGAGGTAAAAATCCCTTCCTAGTATTGTTCTGTTACACTATTGTCAGATATCTCATTTAGTCTTGGCATGTAATGCTAAGCCACTCCCTCTCTGCTTTCTGATAATAAGTTTGTAATCATTATGAATCATTTGTGTGACCAAGTGTTTTATACTCTAGGTAATGCGTTACTTCCAACTGAAGAGCCAATGATAAATTCCTATTATTGAAGCGAATATCTATATGTACTAACTCAAGAGTAAGCTTGTCAACTCTAAGAAAAGAGAAATGGTTCACTCGGTGCTTTTCAAGAAGAAGAAAAATGTGATAAGCAAAAACAACATTCGATAACAATGGCAAATGAAAAATAACTGGACAGAAAGCAGAAAATGGTATGGAACAGAACCAAAGTAGAAAAAAACAAGCTTTTGGTACACTGATTTCAAGAAGACCATTCTACTAAATATTACAGTATAAAAGAGAAAGAGGAAAATGAATACTTGCAAACCTCCAACTGATAACACCAGGATTGCAACTCGCATTRACAGTTGGTGGTCTTCAAGATGTATCGACTTTTATTTCAAAAGTTTATCAGCATTATTTAAATGATTTATAAGGCTGCATGTGCAAAAAATGGTCTGAATAGAGTATGCAAATGTGATGTCACGAAAAAATAGATTTTGGCTTTAATTATTTTCAATCTCTAATTTCTATAGACAATATAAAAGACGTTTGCGTACCAAATTTGACGAGAATCAGCAAATATCAGAAATTTTAGAAAAATTTAGTAGAAAACATTTTACTGTTGTTCTATTCTAACTGTAAATTATATACTTTTATTTTTTCTCGCTTTCATCATTTCATCTCCTTGAATAGCTTTTATAGACTTTCAATATATGTAACTCGAATTCTATCATTTTCGATACATAATCTGATTGGTTTAGAGTAAAGTCATTAAACCCGTGAAATAGATATTAGACTAACACACTTTAGTAGACCTTAATTTCATTGTTTTCTTTTGCGTCTATTTGGCTATTACACGTTGGCTAATAATTTTTAATTCACGGGTTAAATGCCTTCATTCTACAAACTTGAGTGTTGTAATTAGGGTAACAAAAGAAAACAATGGAATTGGGGTCTACTAATGCATATTAGTCTAATATCTTTTTCACATGTTTAATTCCTTCACTCTATCTATGACAGTCTAGTGTTATAATCAAATTACATACTGTATAGATTGTAAATAGAGGCTAAATGAAATCTTTAGGATTCATCAGCATTTATGAAATATAAAAATGCACACAAATTCATGTTACATATTAGGTAAATTTTGATACGTATTTATGGTGGGTACAAGATTAAAGGTTAAAAAGAAAGGTTATATATTTTGTACTGAATAAAATTAATAAGTGCAAACGATATATCCGTGAAATACTAATTACTAATGGTTCAAAATAGTGCTAGTTAAACAAAAGGAAACATAGAATAAGCATAAAATAGTGTTAGTTAGTATAACTTAGTAATATTTCATGGATATATTGCACTCTACAGTCGTAGCATGATTATAGAGTACAAACACTAAATGTGTGCAACATGAATATCACTAAATAGTGTTATCTTAAGCTAATTCTATTTTCTTTTGTTTAATTAGTGCAATTTACTACCAAATAGCGATAACCATTGTACACATTTAGTATTTGTACTCTATCTTGATAAGTGTTAATCATGCCTAGGATAAGTAATTGAAAGAAGAGAAGAAAGCCAAAGGGAATATATCCTAGTGCAAAAGAGGAAATGTCTTTCCGTCCACTACATTGTTAAGCACTTAGGCAATTTAAATTCCTAACCCCCTGGTCAGGGCAGGGAAACTATCAAGTTATCTAGCACTAAACATTTTGTTGCATTCATGCAGTCAAGGTGAACAAAAAATGTTTAAAGGCCTTGGACACAAAACGAGAGATTTTCAGCATTGATTCTAAATGAAGTAAATAGCTGAAAGGTAAAATATTTTTATATGGTTTGAGTGATGCATCTTGGATTTATCAAGGTTTATGCTTAAGGACATATATTGTTTGCACTCTATAGAGTGACCACAGTAAATCTGTGAAACACAATTACTAAATAGTACAAAATAGTGCTAGTTAAACAATAGAAAACAATGGAATTTGCATGAAATTGTACTATTTAGTATTACTAAACTTTGACGGATTTACTGTGGTCACTCTATTGTTTGCACTCTAAAACTATTACAGATATCTAATTTATGTCAACAACCCACTTTCAGGACACCTGAAAGTTGTATTAAAAACATCTAAATATTTTATTAGCATTTTTTAGTACAGAGTGCATGACATAACTATTTCCATGAAACAAAACCAATAAAAGATGTTCTGACTAATTTTAGTCATTTTGTATGAAAATGTGGATATTACTGGAGCAGAAAATTTGGGGGAAAAGCAAAGACCTCCACATAAATTCAACAACAAATATTAGTTAATAACTTAATACTAAATACTAGATAATTATTAAAGTAATTCACAAATATACTATGGCATGCACTCGAACATATTTTCACRTCTTACCTAGATTCTGTTTTCTTATTCAACTTTTTAATAAATACTGTTATAATTTCTTTGTGTTTATAAAGAACCTGCCTGTTCTCACATGAAACTAATGTTTACAAAAAAAAATCAATTTTAACTTGTTTATAGAAAATCAATAATATCCTGAATCTAGAGACAGAAATGCAGCTTCAGAAATGGGAGAAAAAAGCAAAAAAGGAGTGATCACTTCTGGAACAATTTTAAACCCCTCTCAATGTGCATTGACATATTGCATATTGTTTCCCATATTTGCAGATTATGTCATCCCCTTTGGAAATGGATGCTTGTTTTTCAGTACTGATGATCATATTACTGTATCTTCTCAATAGAGTACCGAAGTGATAACATCAAAAAAATTTGTCTTTAAAGACATTTGGGATTATGGTGACATCAGAAACTGCATGTAAAATTTTAGAACAATAGAGCAAAAAAACGACTGAGATATACTGAAAATATCCTATACATTTTCTCTTATTTGAGGCGCTGTGTGCAAACACTACATAAATGAAAAAGTACTATAAAATATTTCCCTTTACAGTAAAACCCTGCACCTTGAAAGGTAAATGTGCATTGAAGTGACAACAGTGGTGACCTTGGAATGATGGAGACCTTTTTAGCACCTTGGACAATAATTCTTATTTATGTCTATCATTGCAAGGTCAACAAATTATTAAGACACATGTTTTAATCATTTTAAGGTCATCCCCATTTGTTGCTTTGATGCACAGGTAAAGTAAGTTACCTTTCAAGATGGGATAGGGAACTGTGAAGGAAGGTATTACAGTGTGACTTCGTCAACCAAGGCCACCAAAACAAATCACATTTCATTTTTAATGCTGCATATAACTAAACAGATGATTTTTAGTGAATTTTGGATTTTAAATTTTGTTGTTCACTCTTGATCATACACACATTATAAAGTAAAATAATTTGTACAGATTCTATTGTTCTCAATCATGATTGGCTAATTTGTAAGAAAATTTGTCTATTGGGTGGCCTTGGTGTAGTCGCACAGTAACTCTAATAAATTACATGTAGCGTTAAAGAAACTGTTGGAAAAACTAACTTCAGGCAACTCCAAATTTGTCAAGGATTAATCCAGTGAAACCATGTCAAAATGAAAATTTCTCTGCAATTTCTAGATAAATTAGTAATCTATTTCAAATTGTCTTTTGGAGGTTGGAGGATGTTATGTAAGGGTGCCACAAATATTCTTGAGTTAACAGTAGTCCACATCGTCTTTGCTGCCAATATCTGTAGCTGTATTAAGTTAATTATGTAGATGATCTATCTTGTCTTTCTTGTGTCAACCCATTAGAATTAGTACAACAATAGCCACTGAATTCAGGAAAATCAAAGGAACTGAAAAAGAAATAGATTGAAATTGGTTAAAGATTAGAGTGACCACAGTAAATCCGTGAAACACTAATTACTAAATAGTACAAAATAGTGTTAGTTAAACAATAGAAAACAATGGAATTTGTATGAAATTGTACTATTAATTTTAGTATTACTAAAGTTTCACAGATTTACTATGGTCACTCTACCATAGTTCAGAATGTAGCCCATCCTTTAAAACATAACTTTCTTTTGCATTGCAACCATACTAAACAGTTTACAGTTTCAGTTCAAAGGACATAATACCATGACATTTTCTCTCGTGCCTGTTGTTCTCATATAGCATCCATGCTATGCTGGTTCAATGCACCAAAAGGTTTCATTTGTCTCTTTTGTTACATCTACCAACATGTTGAAAATTTCATCATCATTACTTTTGCTTTGGCAAACTACATAACCAACACTCCACCAAAGATTACTGTTTCATATCACTGTTCACTCAACCAATCACAGTGTGTGAAACTCTATATTCAAGACTAAAATTACACTAAATAAATTTATAATATAATGATATCCTGCTCTAACTAATCTAAATTTTTTTTTTGATTTTCCCTTTATTTACTTACTTCTCGTTACAGTCCTGACTGAGTGGATAAGGTTAATAACTTGATGTTTAGTTCCTTTCTCTTCACCAAAGCCAGCTAATTGATCAGTACCCCAGCCAACTATCAATTAAATTATAAATGCTGTTTAGTAGTGTTTTTTATATGGATGAGAAATGTATGTGTATTTTCAAAAAATATGGTGTATGTAATGGCATTCATATGCTGGCTTTTCCAATCAAGACACAGTTACTTTTACATTATTACTTTGCTTAAATAAAGTATGGTTACTATATGACTATGAATTTTCAGAATTGTTTCCCATTAATATGAGAATTGTTCTCAAAACATCTACATATCCCAAAACATGGGATCTGTTTGTCTATTCAAATTGGTGCCTCTCAAAATAGCATTGAGTTTCAGTATTTTGGCATCTCTAAATGATTAACAGTATGGCCTGTAACAAATTTAAATTCAGAAACTGCATTTTTAATCCTTCGTAAAATTACACCCATCCTGCTACCCACCCACCCAATAGACCCCTTTCGGATTCCAAATTACCGCTGTGTTTCTTGATTACAGACTCATTTGCACAGGGTTAGCCTCGAGTGTGTGCAGAATATTCACGTGTTCCAGTCAAGGTCCGTCGAGTTTCAAAGTRTTTGTATTGTTGAAGTTGTGCATTCTTTACTTTACCRTTGGTATTTGTGAATATTTATACACTGATACGAGGCTAACCCTGTGCAAATGAGTCTGTAATCAAGGAACACAGCGGTAATTTGGAATTCGAAACTGGTCTATTCTGATTTTAAATATCAACCGGCTTCGCAATGCATTCTGGGATATAATTTGAGTGTCATAGAACATATTTCTTATGACCATGAGGATAAACGGGCAAAAAGCCACGAATATCGTAAACTAAGATTCAGTTTACAGTATCAAAATTATGGGATTACAGTAATAACTAAATCAATAAATAGGTAACGTAAGTTTTTTAACTATCTCGACCTAGAAAATCTAATAAGGAAAAAACTCAGCTSAACCTGTGACTTTTATGATTGAAATAAAAACTTCATACCAGTATGCTAAATATCCAAAATTTAATTCGAAAATCGAATGAAAACTAAAGATAAAATACAGTTGTGAGCTTTTTAGCCATGGCCTATAGTAGGTTGATAATTAAATCAGTGCTTTCAGTATATCTTGTGCATTTTTTAACAATTCACAGCAATAATAAGACACATTATCTATAATTCGCTTACTTTTTGCTAGAAACCGTTCCTCGTGTAGAATCGCAATGGCATTTACTACGAGAAGGCAAGCCTCAAGTAAACCATAGAAAGTAAACGCCATCTTGGCCGATTTACCGACGTGTCCAAATGACAAACAGGGAGCCCAAAATAGAAAATAGCAAGAAATATTTCGAGAGTTTTATTTTTTTATTTAAATAATCTTCTTTTTCAGAAAAATGATTTTAGGTTTTCTTTTCAGGAAGAAAAAGTTTCTTGCTAACGACTTTATTTAATTTACTGATTTTAAAAAAATCTGATGAAATATTTTTGCTAAATTTCTAGATTCCCCAAGAACCTTCGCGAACGCATTGAAAGGACTCACTTCCGGCGGATATGTGTTTTCGTGCAAGAGGTCATGGCTGTTGCACCAGCTAGATGCATGACGTTATCCACGATTTTAGCTTCTCTTTTTATTAACTGCAATCAAAAATCCCAGCAATAAAGACCAAGCACACACGTGTCGCATCGAGATATGCTAGAATTACGTTGACGTGGCCTTTTGCGCTATAAAAAGAGGAGCTGACCACGACTATTATATAAAACATAACGAAGACCAAGTTGCCTACCTGAAAGTTTTTTCGTCCAAGTCGTGACAGAGAATTATTTCGTATTTTAAATTTTTTTGAATGAACACGATGTCGTCCAAATTCTTGATAGCGATATTTTTTCTGGCGTGTGCTGGAGTGGGTTTCCAGACGACAGAAGGGTCTGTGTTCGTACATCCATACTACAGGTTGGTGTGTGTTGTATACGATTTGCCAAGTACGTTCCGGTCCCCTGTCATTCTTTTGTTAAAATTCTCGAGATTGAAAGTATTCATTTGCGTTTTACTCTTTCTCTTACTTTTTTAATAGTTTTTTTCTTTCTCGGCTCTTCTAAAATATTTTTCCTTAGAAAGTAAAGATTTATACACTGAGTTTACGCAACGTAATTACAGTACCACTACACAGCTCCCGTACAAATTATGCGGTATTATAATGGACAGACAGACATTTCTTATTAAGAGTGAGGGATAGTAGTTAACCGTATTTTTCTTCGCTACCTCGTTTCCTTTTTATTATTAATTAATATTATTATCATTATTATTAAAAGCCAAGATAGATTAACTCGTATGTATGTGATTTAACTTTTTAGATTCCATTCCTTTTGGCCAGACTTCGATACATTCGACGATGATTTCTTTTCGGACCCGTTTTTCCGGACTTTCCGTGATCCTTTTGACTGGGACCCATCAAGAGATGACATCGTTGACTTTCCAATACTCCGTAAACCAGCCATTGGAAATCAGAGAAATTGTCTACCAAAGCCAACCCCTCGAAAATCTCTGGTAAAACCGTCCGAAGAGTTGAAGCTGAGTATTGATGTTAAAGGATTTGCTCCCCAAGAACTGACACTGGTAACCARGGGAAACGATGTCATCATCAGAGGGGAAAAGAAAGATTGTGATTCTACGTCGTGTTATACAAGATCATTATGTTGGAGAAAAAAGTTACCGCAAGACATTAAAATTAACACTGTTAAGGCAAAATTAACCAAGGACAATATAGTCGAAATAACAGGCGAAAAGAAAAAAGAAATAGCAGCAGAAGCGAATACAAAGATAGAAAGAGAAACTCAAGAAAAACTAACGCCACAGAAATCGGGAAAACAAGAGCAATTTACTAAGCCTTCTGACCTGCCCATGAAAAACCAAAACTCCATGAAAGAGGAAATTCCAAAACCAAAGCCAGTAGACGAGGCTGAAGAAGAAACAACGCTGGAAGTCGTGAAAGACGACGACTAAAAAACAATAATTTGAGAGTTGATCACGATATAAGTAATTCTTTGCATGATTCTTTTATTGGTTCAGTTATCATTCTGACAAGGGAAAACTTGAGATAGTGTGAGAGAGGAAGACGCCTGAATCACACCTAGAGCCTAATTAATAGGAATYGTCACACTTGACATGGGTATTAATGGCAGCCCGCTGATGACAAATTAGACTTGAATATTAGAACCTGAATAAGAACCTGAATATTTTATTTCCTTCTATTGCTATTTATGTATCGTATAATCTTACTTCTAATAAAATCATTCAAATTTATTTAAAAAACAAGTCTATTTTTTATTAGTYGTCGTTACTTGGACATTCTGCTGGGGTCCAGACTGAGGTTATTTATTCTCTAGGGAGCGACTTCCCTTCAAAACAGCAAACGCCAGAGTGATAATAAACTAACCTATGGACCCCAGGGTAGGCAATAGTTGGATAGCTGTTGAAAGGAACATCTAGCTGTCGCAACAAATAGGCGTAGATTATGATGGGTGAACGCCAATGTCTTATTCGTTTCCACGACACTAATACACCTTGTGCATGTCTTTGAAACTATATTTGGCGCGAACATGACGTGAGCACCTAAAATTACACGTAATATCAGCCATTCAGAGGTCGAGGAAAAAAACTGGATCAGTTTGGCATGGCAGTGCATTGTGGGACTGATCTCAATCTTGGAAATGTGCCCCTAATGTAAAACAGTCCCACTATGCATCGCAATGCCAAATCGACCCAGTTTTTCCTCAACCACGGAATGGCCAATTCTCTAGGGAGTCATTTCCCTATGGTGACCCTAGGACAACGTAAAAAACCCAGACTTCTTCACGTTGGAATTCGTGCCATTTCTTTGGCATTTTCCTGTTACTCTTGCATTGAAGATACTTGCATTATGGTAACATTAACTACAACTACCATAATCCCTTGCACACTTTTTTGCTTTATTTGAATAAGAATGGAAATTTCTGAAGCATTTTGGTAGTTGAGTCAAATGATGCCATCATGCAAACATCCAATTTTGAGAAGTGTCCATTATATAGGAAAGCAAAAACTGCATTTTGTACTTAATTTTTACTAGATTTTTCATTTGTTTGTTTAACCTTATGGAGGACAATACCTTAACCTCAAATACAAAAAATCTCATATTTTTACCTCTATACTTTAATCAAAATTGGACTACCTGTACTGACACATTATAATTAAAATAACCAYGAACATGATTTACCTGGCCTATAACCTAAATACCCTAATAAAATTAAAATTAAAATTACCTAATACCTAACATGTGCATACTTGATCCAAAATTATCTATCAAAAGTATAAGCAATAAAAAGCACTGCTGTTCTGATAATTAAGTAATGCTCAGCTGTGATTTAACATTATGTTTGACATGTTGCGAGTCACTACTGCATAAATCAAATTTATCTGACTCTTTCAGGTAGCATTCTTTTTCTCAGCCCAATACATAAAACACTTCATTGGCAATGCCCTCATGATTTTCCCAACCCCACTATAGTTGTCTTTTAATATTTTTTCTATTTTTGTTTTGGCATCTTTCTTTTCTTCCTCACTGCAGTACTGGAATGAGCCATAGGACATAAATAACTTTAGGGCATCTTCTTCAGTGATTGAATCTGAATGAGTTGTAAATTCTTCTTTAATCTCCCCAAAGACACCAGTATTTATAAGCATCTCTTGCCAGCCACCATCAAAACCCCTTTCATTAAATATAAACCTTACACCAACACTCTGGTAATAGATTTTTGATAAATCGAAGATTGATTGTGCCCATGGTGCAGCCTCTATGTCCACGTAATTACATATGAATGCAGTAATTCCACCAGGTACTAAAATCCTACCAATTTCAGTAAAGCTTTCAGGGTTGGAGATGTAATGTAAGGCATTTGTGGCTACCACTGCCTGAACACTAGAATCAGGAAGAGCTGAGGAAATCATGTATAAAAACACAAATTAGAAGCAAAAAGGATGGGGATCAATAAATTTCATGCTAATACAGGTATTGAGAGAGAATCATGATACCATTTCTTAAATTACTACTTACGTATTTTCTCTGATCTACAACAAATGAACTCCAATGCTGGGAAATTCTTCTTGAGCACCTTTCCCATGCTTTCTACTGGTTCACTGGCAATGAGCTGTATGTTATCATTATCAATGGCTTGAAGGAGGACCTTAGTGAACTTTCCTGTCCCTGCAGCAAGCTCTAGAACAGTGCTCTTCTCATTGTTATTCAACTTTGCAAGAAAAAGCTTGGCAGACTCTAGACTATGATCCTTTCTTACTTCATCATAATTATTAGCACTCTCAAATGCCTTTGATGCAACTTGCACAAGATCCACTTGTGAAGCCATTCTGATTTGTTGAAATATTCTACAAAAGAAAAAGTGGAGTTATTGCTAAAGTTARTTTTGGTAACCCTGTGGACCCACCTGGAAATAAGGCATTTTTGGACTACTTTGCTTTTTTACAATTTCTATGTTAACTGTTAGCTATTAGCCAACTTGGCTAATTAGAAAACAGAAAAAGCATTCAAGCATGTAAACACTTAAAGATTCCTTGTAGCACTTTCGAATGCGGCAAAAGTTTCCATTATCAGGAGATTGAAATTCTTTGCTTTTCTTCCAAATTGAGCCCTTTGACGTCACATGCAAGGGGTCTATTTGAATATGCACGATCTACCATTTTTCTATTTCTTTTTTCTTTCTTTTACTGATTGTGGTGAACAGAGGAGGTTACATGAAAAATCAAACACCATTTTGCACTTTGTTTCTTTATCTTTTTTCTGTCTTTTCTGGAACCCAGCCTGATTCATCAACTAAGAAAATGCAATAAATACGTGACTACTACAAAAATGCTATTGAACCCCCCGTTATTGGCCATGCAAAAATGGCTCAATTTCATGCTCAACCACAGGGTGATGAAGTCCAAAACTCAACTCACTTTTCTCACTAAGTAATTTATGAATCTCCAAAGTAAAGGATAAAATGTCATGTGTGCACWTGGAAAACAAATAAGACCCCAGAAGAAAGAAGAGAATATTGAAGTCAATTAATTCAATTTGGTGTCACATGTATGACACACTCAATTGCAAATTTCATAATAACTTACAAATTTCTTGTGTGCTGATTTTTTTAAATCATCAACAAGAGGACAGACAGATAAAGCTGACTTCAATGAGCGTACGCTCTTTCCCTTGTTGTTTTTTTATCAATAAAAACAAGAAGTTTTTATCGTTTTTGTTATAATAAAAAAACAGACATCAGTTTTTTTACCTCGGGTCGGTTGCCAAAAGAAATCAATTGAATTGGTGTACAGTGAGCTCCAAGTACAGGTCAGAGCAAGCGAGGTAGTATGTGAATACAGGCAAATTTCATGGCTTAAAGACGCGAAGACTAATCTCTAATGCGACTTTCTTGGTTCTATAGGGATGTGAGAGAAGGGTCATGACTAAAATTTGGTGCTGGAAAGAAAATTCGAAGACGTACGAGGTTTCAAAGACCCGTGATGGTTTGCTTTTGGGACTCGAGTTTCCAACCTTCTCTTATTTCTTACTGGTGGGGAAAAAATCTTAAAACGGGCTAAATTAAAAAAATAACCACGTACAGTGAAAGAAGTGCTATTTCTCAATGATCGGGTAAAATTTCGAGGCTTTATTTCACGTTTCAATGATTTTATTAAGATTTTTGATGAATCTCCATACATTTCCTTATAACAGGACACCACAGAAACCAAGCTTGGGCTACCTGTGATTTGAGAAACAAATTCAGCATGAAGCATGTATGTATTAAAAGCCTCAACGTTTTCTGTCAGTTTGTTTGTTTCAACATTCCATGAGCTTTCACTAGATACAATTTTATAACATACTTCTCATGCATCATTTTGGTCTCAGCTTCAATGTTCTTTGTTTTGAACCTTACAATGCTTTAAGCTAAGTTTATAATAAATACAAAGTCAGATACATATGTATTAGGTCATGGTAGCGAAGGTAGGTTCCCATCATTCATCATGCTGAAGCAAAATCATGTGTCATGGAGAATTTTTTGACTTTATTATCACACATCACAATAATAACAACCTAACTTTCTTTTTGTTGTCATTGTTTTTTTGCTAAAAAGCCAAACTAACAATAGTGATTAACTTACAATATTTTTAACACGAGTAAATGTGACCAGGACGTAACACCTTGATAACATTAAGAGCAAGTCGCTTTCTCCTGCATATGAACAGTCTCTTGAGTCAGACCTTTCGTGCTTCCTTTATTTTACGGCTGCAATAAAAGCTTTTCATCAGTGACTTTACAATGAATGAATTAGTTTTTTTAATATCCCATTGAAAAAAATAGCTTACGACAAATGGATGTTTAAATTGGAAAGATCTTAGTATTAGGGACAGGTCAAAAATTAGAGGGGGGAAGGCTGGTGCATTTTATTTTTTGTATATTTTTTAGTGGCCCACGCCTTTCTTTTCCTTATATGTAAAAAAAATTAACCCTCCCCTAAATACTTGCACAATTTTTTCTGCCCCTCCCCTCCCCCATAACTTATCATTTAGGCTGACCTTGTTTTTAATGCACCAGTAAACAAGTTGCATGTCTTCCCAATCTTGTTGTCACAGTAGTTGTCGTAACGTTTAGAATTAACTGTTCTATTGGTTTGCTTACTTAGGAGCTCTAATTACTGTTGGTTTTAAATATAAAATAAACAATACAAAAATACAAAAAAAAAAAAAGATTTAACTTTCCTTTTGAAGACTTAATAATATCAGCTTGATCCAGTGACAGTATAATTCATTTTTTACATTTCTTTTGACCTAATTCTTATGCACAAAAACGTTTGGCCCTCCCCTTAAGACTTGCATGATTCTTTCTGGCCCTTCCTTTTAGCCAGCATGAAAAATAATGACCCTCCACCCATTTGCACCAGCCCTACCCCAGTCAAACCAGCTCATGCGTCCCTATCGAGGTTCAAAGATTCATTTCGATTTCCATCTCGCTTTGGAGTTTGCATTAATCCAACGAATGTTGCAAATTTCAATCCCGGCCTTTACCTCAATACATCAAAATGTTCATTTGTGAAAGGACTTTTTGAACAAAACAACTGGTAGCTACAACTGTAGCTTTGCTTTGCACGAATCTGTGAAGAACTAAATAAACTTTTACTGTAATCCAATTCCAAATTTCAAATTTACAACGTTCGTTTCATTAATGCAAGTTACAAAGCAAGATAAAAATCAAACTTCGAATAATACACTGAATGTTTGAACCTCGATGGGAACGCATGAATTGACTTGACTGTTAGTAGCAGACTATAAAGAACGTCTGATCCGGCTCAAGTAGTGCCTGGTACCAGGCGAGTTACTCGTTAATTTGACATCTTTTGATCTTGTTGTTAGCAGAAATTTTGCATCAATGATACTTAGGTCACGATTGCTAACCCCTCTTTCATGCTCAAAACATTTAAACAAAATATCGTCGTAGGACTTACCTCAACTACAAACCTCGAGTCTTCTCACCACAAAGATACGAAGTTCAAGCACAGGTAGCCCAAGCTTGGTTTCTGTGGTGTCCTGTTATAAGGAAATGTATGGGGAATCATCAAAAATTTCAATAAAATCATCAAAACGTGAAATAAAGCCTCGAAATTTTACCTAATCATTGAGAAATAGCACTTCTTTCGCTCTGCGTGGTTATTTTTTGAATTTAGCCCGTTTTAAGCATTTTTTCCCCACCAGTAAGAAATAAGAGAAGGATGGAAACTCGGGATCCAAAAGCGAGCCATCACG